TTTGGAATTTTAGATTAAATGGATCCAATGTCAGAAAAATATAGCTTATCAAAACTGATGTAAGGAGTGGGAGTAGAGACTGTAAAAGAAAAACATGATTTTGAGAAAACTGGAAGTTTGCACACTGGTGATATTTGACTGTATTAAAGAATTATTATTTCTAAGTGTGATAATTGTATTGTTGTTTTTTAAGTCCTCATCTTTTAGAAATTCCAATTAAAACATTTATAGATGACATAATAAAATGAATTTTGCTTCAAAATAACAATTCTGCCTCTGGGTATTTATCCAAAAAAAATGAAAATCAACTCAAAAAGAAATATGCTTTCCTATATTCAATGCAGCATTACTTACAATATCCAAAATATGGAAGCAACGTAAGTGTCCAGTCGATTCATGAATGGATAAAGAAGATTCCATATATACAATGGAATTTTACTACGTAGCCATACAAAAGAATGAAATTTTGCCATTTGCAACAACATGCATGGTCCTGGAGGGCATTATGCTAAGTGAAATAAATAAAACAGAAAGACAAATACCGTATGATTTCACTTATATGTGGAATCTAAACAACAAAAAAAATTAACAAATAAAACAAAACAGAAACAGACACAGATACAAAAAACAAACTGATGGTTGCCAGAGGGAGGGAGTGGGTTGGCAAAACAGATGAAGGGGATTAAGGGGTACAAACTTCCGGTTATAAAATAAGTAAGTCACAGGGATATAACGAACAGTATAGAGAATAGGCAACAATACTGTAGTAACTGCGTATGGTGACAGAAAGTAAATGAACTTATGGGGTAATAACATTGTAATGTACCTAAGTATCAAATCACTATATGGTACACCTGAAACTAATATATTGTAAGTCAATTATTCTTCAATTTAAAAAACAAAAACAAAAACAAAAAAACTTGACGCTACAGAACCTGCACCCATGCCTGTACAACATGGAACAACAATTTTGTTAGCAGTTGCGGTGTGAAGCTCACAAGCATGACTGACCTTTCTCCACTGTAGTCTGAAAGCTGAGAGGCCTCTCAGCAATCCTCCGAGTTGGTCAGCTGAGTCTCGTGGCGACGGGATCTTCTTTCCTCAGGCCTCAGGCTTTCCCCGCCCATTACTCTGAGAACCAATCATCGAGCTCGGCTTTGGACCAGGGACCAATCAACGATCTCTGCCCCTCCCCCTCCGCCACATCCGCGTGTGGGAGGCCGCGCCATGTTTCAAGGGCAGCGGGGATGGTTCTGCAGCAGCGTCTGCGGGGACCTGAGGCAGTTCTGGGGTAGGAGGCTGGGAGGAAAGGAAGGGTGAGGTGGTGAGGGGAGCACCCCTCCCTGCTCTGGTACCTCGGCCCCAGTGTACTTGCTGGCTTACGCTGTGTTCTTGCTTCCACAGTGGCCGAAGGGGGCACGATCAGTGACTCGAGGGCGGCCGACTTCTTGTTCAGCTGCGATGCTTCCCACCCAGACACGCTGAGGTACTTGAAGGCCACATTGCAGGGCCTCTCGGGTCATGATGAGCCAGGAGTGGGAGATGGAAATTGCAGTCCACTAATAAATATGGGTGATAGGAAAAGACTGGAAACGAACCACTTTTCAGTCCTAGATGTGGGAATTAAAGTGAAATAGATANATGTCTTATTCAGATCACCAGGAGAACAAGGACAGACCACAGATGTACACATAGTTTCTACTATCTGAAGGTGTCCGCTCTAATATTTTCTGACATACTACCTCAGCTCTCCAGCTTTTGCCTTAATATTAGATGACACAAATTTATGTCCCCCAGTTTTCCCAGATAATTGGTTATTCCACGCTGAATAATTTGAATAGTCCCTCTACTTAGAACTTAGATTATAATTAAAAGCAGGAATCCTTCTAATGAGTATAAATCATAAGAACACCAATATAGGACTTCCCTGCTAGAAATAGACTGAATAGTACTCATTAAGAAGCATGACTGGGACTATTTTATACATTGTTTTATTTCAGGCTATAGGAGATGAGGCTGGCAGTAACAAAAATATCCTTGTATGAAGTACAAGGTAAAAGAGGCCCTCCTCAGTGTGTTAGGATTCACTGAGGTGAGACCCTAAAAGGAGAATGCCTTGCACTTTTCTTTGACTAACTGGACTTTTAGAATAACAGTGGTAATATCATTGCACAGTTGTATAACACACCTGAGATACAGGAGAAAAAGAATAGTAAAACTGGATTGCCAGGTATTTCCAAGAAAGGAGAGGCTGTGGATAAATTAATTTTTCAGATGAGTAAAGATGGTGTTTATTCAAGGCCAAATATTTGGTTAACTACTTTAGATAAAATTCTCCTAAACTGATATACTTTCTTGCTTATTTAAAAAAATTAAATTGTAAAAAACATATAGAAGGGTGTGTGGAATGTATATGTACAGTTTAGAGAATAATGCAAAACACAATCACTCATTAATTGACTACCTAGTTTTGGAAATGGAACAGTATCAAAATCTTTGAAGGTGCCTGTGCACCTCTCTCAGCCCTGAGGGAATCACTATTCTAAATTTTGTAACTGGCCTTTTCCTTTTTGAAAATAATTCATATGCCTGTTTTTCCAACAAATGTACTGTTTCATTTTTTCTATACTACATATGTAAGTATAACGTTATTATGCCTACTTTTTAAACTTTAAATGAATGGAATCATGTTGTATGTTTTCCTCAGCTTCTTTAAAATTCAAAATTATGTTGTGTTCCACTGTATAAAAATAAAATAATTTAAATATCCAAACTACTGTTGACAAATGGTTGTTTATCAACCACATGAGTGATTGTTTCTAGTTTTTTGTTTTTTGATTGTTGCTATTGCTTTAATAATAG